ACAAAAATATAGAATTATAGAAATATAGAATTTCCCAATAGATTTAATAATACTGTGTAAGAATTAAACCTAGACTTAATGGTGCCTGATTATACTGAAATTATATTTTCAAGTACAGCATTTCATTTAATAGATTCAAATTATTTTCCAATAGCTTCACCACCTTTTTTTAAATGTACATGCATGCATGCATTCAATATAGATATGGGTATGACGTTTATTTTTGAGCATTCTAAATATGTATTCGGTATTGGGTTTCATTAATGTCATGAATATACACACAGGATATCATGATGTAATTTCTGTCAGCTGATTGTGATCTATAAGTTTCACAAAAAAAAAAATTAAATTGGTTATGGTCTCGGATAACATACAATATTTACATAGTTTACTGGATTTACATACTTTATACGTCCATGCACATTTCCACTTGTCAGTTATTTAAAAAAAAATGTGTTTGATAAGAACTGGTAGGTTTTAGTATAAAGTAGCAGCAGTAGAAGTTTAGGCTTAGTTTTAAACAGGAAATGTATTCTCTGTAGGACGCGAGTGTCATTTTTATGGCACTCTGAAATGGTATGATGTAGGAACAGTGTAGAAAGCAAAGTTTAAACAATTTCTTGTGCTCAATTTGTAGAGTGAAGCAAAGAGAATTGACTCTGTTTTCCCACTCTCCCTTGCAAGCCTGTGTGTCATCTACGGGGGGTAATGCAAACAGTTCGAACAGTGCAAACTTTGTGATTCTGTGGATAGGATGTGTTTTATGAATAAAGATATGGTTACAAATTTCTGTGTCTTCTTTTTTTTTTGTGTGTGCACTGTACGTAGCAGCTAATAAAGGAGTGTAAGCAAGTTTATAGGTAGAAATTGAACAGTTACATTGATGTTGCCACATCTGTTGGTTGCTGCCTGCTTTATTATTTAAATGTTGATCGATAGTTTCATTTTCACTTTTTGTGTTGAGTAATAACTCATTCTTTTCCCCCCACATATGACCTTTTAAGCAATATGTAGGTCACGTTTTTTACCCCTCGAGGTCACTCATCCTGTTATTTCATTTCGATAATCCAAAATGAACTTATTTTATTGGTGTTTCAGCACAATTTCCAGGACTTGAATATATGTTTTAGCTACTGTAAAATGACTAATTTTCACTGGGTTTAAATTTCACTGATTTAGCATTTCAGGCATATTTAGTGGGTCTTAAATTCACGGTTTTATCATTAAGATAATGTGTTCTATGCTAAATTTTACATATTCACTGGGTTTTAATTTAGCGCATTTTCCAGTCAGTGAAAAAAGCGAAATTAAAACCCAGTGAATAATTATTCCTTTTACAGTACTTTAGTAAAATAGTTCGGTGAGCAAAATGACGCATTAAAATGCCCCAATTTTTATTTTGTGATGCTGTCGTAGCAACAAAAGTACCAGGATGTGATTTCTGGAGGTTCATTACAAAATACAAATTTCCAAAAACTATCACAAAACTCTATGATCAGCCTTAAAAGAATTCATATGACTGCTGACAATTTGTTGGTTTGATTTGTCTTGGACGACGAATTATATTTTATCTGCAGTGTTGTAGATCATTGGAGCATGGAAAGAGCGCCCTCACCAGGTCAGGTATGGTGTCCTACCAGTAAATGTCCATAATTATGTATGCATAGTGACTGCTGTGCGTTAAAAATAAAACAACACCAGATTGTAATCAACAAAATCAATAGATCACGATTCGTGAATCTGTTGCACAATTTTAAATGATAAAAAAAATGTGATGTATCACGACTAGTGTCTATACTGTCACCTATTCATGATAGCTGGAAAAATAAATGCTTCACAACAGTCAAGTTTTCTTGATTTTTACAAAACTGCATAATGTTTGCAAAAAAAAGTCAAAATCTTGAGGCAATGAGAAATGTTAATTTAATCCAAATTTAACAGAAAATGATAGAAAAAGACATAAAAATGTTGCACCAAAATTAGGCGAGAAAAATTATCGTTACCGGTGTAGCTAAATGGAAGAAATTATAGCATGTATTATATAGTATCCGCACATCACCTACTAAAAGCTTCCGCGGATGTTAAAAAAGAAAAATGCTACGAGAGACACTGTTATTAAAGTGGCATATAATGAAGGTTTATGCATTGCGTTATGCTGCCATCTTGTGTTTGTAAATTTTCTATATTAAGGTAGAATGCTATGCCAACGTAAAAATATTGTCATTTTTCTTTATTTTTACATACTAGTAACTGATTTATCGTGATGAAGAAAATATGGGGTCACTATACTCTGTTCGGAGAAAATCAATGTACAGCAATGGAATGAAAATATGGGGTTGCTATACTCTGGAGAAAATCGAAGTACAAAATGGAGGGAAATGTGTTCTCTGTTCCAGCGCATTTTACCATTGCGCTTCCTATGTCAAGGATACATCTCAAAATTTTACTTGAGGACAAGTTGATGAGATATATAGTGTCTTACAAGGTACTTTTTGAAGTGATGAAAATCAACAATATTTTTAGTTTGAGGAAATGAGTTTTCATTGTGGTCTATGAAAACCGCTGATAAAATGACATTTTCTGCATATCATTTTACCGTTTTTCACAAAAATCAGATTGACAGTTAACCAAAAAAATTTCATGCTATTGACCAAAATGATCAATTGCAGACAGATTTTGAAATACTGTTACTACTACAGTAAATGTGCACATACAAAAAAAACTCAAACTCTCAGTACAATATCACCTTAACACATTCAATGCCAAAAAAACTATTTTCACCTGTCACAAAATTCAATTTAACTTTTCCATTTTTTCCATATTTTTACCTTGCCCGTACCATCAAAGATGGAAGGGAAAGGTATATCAAGGGAAAAATTTTGTCCGGCGTTGTCGTCGTCGTTGTTGTTGTCGTCGTCGTTAATAATTGTTATTGTGTGCATAATAACTTTACTAATTCTATTCCAAACTTTATCAAACTTGGTCACCTTATTCATCAGTATAAAGTCTTCCCTGAGTTTGAACAACAGATGTCCTGTATGAAAATATCATGCAAAAATTGAGAAAATCTGATAAAATATTTTGACTGTTTCTACTTGACTGATCACTGGTGATACACATCAAAGGTCTCAGTGGAAATATGCATTGTTGTATGTGTTCAATGAAGCAAATGATTTATCTTGTAATAATATCCTTGGTAATGTATCTCAGAATCCCATACTGGGTTTCAAAACCAACTCATGGAGAGATTGCACAGTCTGATACACATTTGCAAACCTACCAATAAAATCTTTACAGAAAACAAGATGTCAGAAAATCAATATAAGCACTCCTATGAACTGGGTGCCTAACTTTGATCAAGATCTGAAGCTAATGGAAAATCTGTTTAGTTCAAAGTTATCAAATCAAAAACAATACATAAAATATAGCTGCGTTGCAGCAATGTCGGGTTTCGAGCCCACTGACTTATTAGCAGCGTTCCAAAATCAGCATCATCGACAATAATATATTAAAGGAAATAGCATGGCCTTCATACTAAACATGTTGCATGTTCCTGTCTGTAACATTGCTTAAGGTATTACATTCTTGCATATTTAATGATGTCCCATGACCATATATGGTCATCGGATGTTTTTGTCAGCTCTGTTGTGCAATAACTTCAATATTGCATTGGTTGCATTTTCATATCTGTAACAGTGCTTGAGATATAACATTTATGCATATTTGATGAGGTCACATGACCATATGTGGTCATCACATTAGTTAGTCACATCTCTTGTTCCATAGATTCGATATTGCACAGGTTGCATGTTCCCGTCTGTAACAGTGCTTGAGTTATTACATTTATGCATATTTAATGATGTCACATGACCGTGTATGGGCATCAGATGTGTTAGTCACATATCTTGTCTCATAGCTTCGATATTGCACAGGTTGTGTGTTTCTATC